CGCGCGATGCGATTTTTCACGAGCTAGCTGGGAAAGAAAGGGGAAAATGAAAAGGGGTAGGGGGCAGCAATGATGCGCAGCTCTGCCTCCCCCCCCCCTTTCCCATCCCACGCGCGCTGCTCACCTTATCCAGCGACAGGTCTCCTCCCTCGATGGCCTTGAACGGGTAGAGGGCCACCACCACTTTGTTGCGGACCATCACCTTCTCCTGGAACAACAACAACAAAAAAGGCAACATGAGCGTAACGCCTGGCTCGGCGCACCTGAGATGCGATCAAGTTTAAAGTGGCTTCCACTCGCGTTGTCTGAGCCCCCCCCCCCCCCACTCTACCCCTCCTCCTCCTCCTCCCCGGCTGAACGCCAGAAGAGCTGAGAGCCTTGAGGCGCCTTGTGGCCATACAAAAAACAACAAAAAAGACATCGACACGGTTAAAAGCGACTGCCTGAAAATTGCCGCTACTTCTGCTTGAAAACCAATCACTTTATTGTTCTAGAAAAGGTTTTCAGGCAAGTGTGGTAATTTCCAAGAAGCAATCGCATTTAAGCGTGCTCCGCGCTGTGACGCCCTGCGAAACGGCGAAGGGTAGCGACCGGGTGGTGCTGGCCTACCCTACCCCCCCCCCCCCTCCAAAGCGAGGCGAGGCTGTGTGGCGCGCATGAGATAATGCGACCCAGAGCGGCGTGAATTCTTGCACTGCTGGCTGCCCTCTCTGAGGTCCGGCTAGAGTCCGACTGGAGTCCGACTGGAGTCCGACCGGAGTCCGCAAGGGGCCAGGGCCAGCAGGGTGGAGCCGAGGGGCGGCTCAGCAGCGTGCAGCCGCGCGTTGGGCTGTTTGCACTTGCAGCGGGGCGTGGCGTGGCGTGGCGTTGCGGGGGTGGGGGTGAGGTGGTTGGACGGGGAGGCCGTGGAGGAGGCGAAAACGGATTACATTATCCCGGCGCCGGCCGCGAGCCCCTTTGTGTATTCCACGTACCTCCCTCCTCCTTGAAATATTCCCACAAGTGCCAGAGGAAATGCCCTCCCCGGCCCGGCCGCGGCGCCGGCAAGGGGGATGGAATACACAAGACACGCAACACTGCGAAAATTATTTCCGGTAAAGTTGTGTATGTGATGTTTCGCCGTAGTTTTGATTTATTGACGCAGTTCTGTAAAGTTGTCGCGATTATGCGACACGCTCGTCCGCTTTTGCGAAACGGGGGTAGAGGGCGTCGTCGTTGCGCGCCTGCGCAGCAACCCGCATGTACAGCAAAATTGTAGGGTGCACGTCGCTTAGGGATCGCTATTCGGCACTAGCCGTTACGAACCTGCCCAGCTGAGCCTTCAGCAAGCTCTCGAAGCGCCTGGTAGGTAGGCAACATATTGGTTGGAGTGCATGCGTGTACCGCGGGGTGGCCTACCCTCAGCCTCGCAGGCGCTAAGCTCCCGTATTTTATTTTTACCTAAATGAATCTGAAACAAAAGGACGTGCTTTTCGAAACGATTCCTCGCCGAGCCCACACCTGTCTTTACGATCCGTGTTCCTGACCATACCCAACGGCGTCTAGATTCACCGAATGCAGTGTTTTGTTCGAATCCACCAAACTCACTTACTTACGTTAGCCCAACTCACTTTTAGTAATTTGGTGATTTTCAGAGACCGCATAGAAATTTGAGCCCGGTCCAATTTCTATTTCGAATTTAAGGTACGATTTTAAATTATTTGGTTCGAGGTTTGCAAAGTTTTCAATTTTCCCCGGGCTCTCCTCCTGCTCGATGTGTCAAGAGGAATACCATGGACGCGATGGACGCTGCTCCGGCAGGCAAAGCTATGGGCAGTCAAACCCACACGTACGGCACGGCACGAGGGAGGCACGGCCCGAGGCACGGGCACTCGACTCGCACGCAAATGAATTCAATAAACGCGCCGCGGGAAGCAAGCACTTTAAAATGAATTCCCCCCCCC